GTTGAAGTCCACACATCTTAAAGTTGCTGAGGTTGAGAAACACTGCTCTAACCAATTACTTAAAATTTGTGTTGATTACACAATCAACATTACAGTGAAACCTCATTTTCACAACTAACTGGGGAAAAAGTCATGAACAACCATTAAATATTAGTCTATTTGCATAGGGACATCACTACCTAAATGATGCAATTTGCCATTGCACGTAAAGCCTATTATACCCAAGTTTGCCAAATTGAAGTTTCACTGTAGTTTTTCACTTACTATTTATAAAATTTCTATGCAAGAGAAAGACTGTGTAAAATTAGAGAAATTACTCCCCCCCCACATACACACACTTCCAAGAGGGTGATGGGTCATGTAAAGCCTTGTCGTCAGCCCTATTTGGTAGACCAGATCAGGAAACTGACTCCACACGAAGACTAGAACTCTACTTGGTTGAGATCATAACAGAATCTTACAGATCTGACTGTGCTTTACTACCCCTCCTTCTTATACCCCACTGAATCAGAGGGGCTAGTCTGAGCGTCTTCCCAATACTATCTCCCTCCCCAGGACTTAAGGAATCCTTCTAAATGTATCCTCTTTGTTTACATAACAGCTTCTGAATATTCACTTCAAAGTCACGTCTACACTTACACACAGGGACGTAACATAATGTAGCATCTCTCTCTCTTTGAGAGCTTAAGGGAAGGTGCTCTGTATGTACCATTCTAGTTTTTCATGTAGATTTCAGTTTTCACGTAGAAGTTCATGCACCATGTACCATTCTAGTTTTTCATATACCCATCTTGTTAGTAGAACCATCTCAGAGGTACCCTACTGAAGATGGACTCAGAATAATGGTACAGGTATGTTGCAAATTTTCTCCCACAACACACAGCCATGTGAGGGTCTAATTATGCTTGATGTGATTACCAATATATTCATATTTTTAGTGGTTACAGATACTTTTCACTGAAGTCATGTGCCCTCTAGTGGAGACGTAAAGCATGCGAACATAACATTTGCCGAATTGGGCTGACAGCGACAGCACCCTAACCTTATTTTTCAATCCTGGACAATTCCTTCATTCCAACTTTTCCAGCATATCTGAAATCTACAAGGTCTCCTCTCATGAGTCTGCCACTTTTAAACGGCACTGTGGGGGTGAGGCACTAGTCAGTACACAACATTTCATCACCTACCCATTGCAGGTAGACACCAGTGATGTATCTACATGGGGTGAAAGTCATCATCTTGTTCATGAGGCCTCTGTAAATTTGAAAGGTCCTGTCTTTAACCAAGACATCGACACTGGCCACCAATACAAAGTGATTTCACTTTTCCAGGAAAGACAGATGAAAACAGGTTAAAATGGCTATTGTTAATCTGAGTACTTGCACTGTAATATAGCCATAGACTTGAAAATATGACAAAGGCTGTAATTCTATTCAGTTGACACAAACACCCAAATCCGGTGGCAAGTGTACAAAATAATTTATTACAGCATTACATTGTTGACTTTTTACAGTAAGTTTTCATTCAACTATTGATCCTAAGTAGATGACAAAGGAGATTGTCTTAATGACATTTACCTCGGTAAAACTTCCCTTTTTGAATTTTGCATAGGACCTAAGTAATCTTAAATATTTACATTACTCAAAAAAATGAAAACAAACTGGTTCCATTGTTTTCCCCCCAAAATGAATTTTTTTATACAAGCCACAGTGTATTTTTACTTTTTTACATTTTCATGTCATTTAACTCCTGAAGAAAATCCCTTAAAACAACTGAATCAAAACTTCGATATGTTGTAGGTGAAATGCATTTAGATTAACTCATAAAAAATAAACGGGGAAAAAAAGATGAAATGCACTTTATAATTAGACTTAATTGTGCTTTTTTAAAAATAACATCTTAACGTTAATAGCTTTACAGCATGTAAAACAATAATATTTTTGGAAATATTGATTTCAGGTTCATTTCTTGAGAATTTTAATGTAGCTCACCATTATTATTAAGACAAGACCATATTCTCCATTAACTGTTTTTTTCTCTGTTTTTGAAGGGAAATGTTTTAAAATTCCTAAGTAACAAAAAGGTATCTTAACAGTCTAATGGCAACTGAATGGTACTAAGCGTTTAATGAATTGTTGAAATGAATAATTTTGGACCAAGGTAATCTGCAGTTTTAAAAAAATACATATTCCAATTTAAAAACCCAAATGAGCCTTTCCAATTAATCAGCAGCATTTCCATACAACACTATGAGACTGACACACTACTGTATGCCAGGACCTATCATGAGGATTCGTGCTTTGAAAGAAACAGAGAAGATGAAAACAATGAGGAACACATGTGATGTTATATCTATTCTGGTTTGCCAACTTTCCCATCCAGGGCTGTCCGGGGCCGGGGTGGGGGAACAAAGTCAAGATGACGGCATCTTCTTTGATCGCCCCATGGACATCCCTGTCTTCCACCCAACATGTTTTGAAAGAGGTGACTGTATTTATTGGGCTATGCAATAAAATTTATGGGTCCATGATTTAAAATAGAAAGATTCATAGCTGTACAAGTATAAACATGACCAGTATTATGCAGAGAGAGTAACAATAACATTGGCAGCTCTTGTTGAGGGCAAAGGAGATACAGCACAGTAGATTTGCATCCAGTTGCCTGGGCTTGACGCCTGAATCGTTCCGATTAGATCCTGCAGAAACCTGACCTGTCAGCAGCCAGTCTGTCTTCTGTTTTACATTTCATTGGACAGCACATCATGATTAATGGCTGTATGATTCATTGGTGCAAAGCAACTGTCATCTTCATTGGCGGGAGGCATAAAGGCAGACGCTAAAGGAAACAGTTTGTGGCACGCTGTCCGATACCCCTCGCTCTGGCTGTGGCATTCTCCAAAGGTGCCATCAAGTAAGAAATCCAAAACCGTTGTTAAAGTCTACAAATACACATACGCAGAAACGTCAAAAGCAGAAACACCATCTCTAACAGCCTCTCCTTTTTAGTACTGAAAAGAATACCCCGCATCTTTTCCCTTTTCTACAGAAAACCCAAATACCATATTCTTTTTGCCATAAGACAGAGTATCCTATGCAAGCCACTAGGCTAATGCTAAACATTCAATTAGGAATCAATTTATGTTTTTTTTTTATTATTTAATTAAACATTTTAAAGAAAGAATATACAGTGGGGCAAAAAAGTATTTAGTCAGCCACCAATTGTGCAAGTTCTCCCACTTAAAAAGATGAGAGAGGCCT